TATATTTCTGATTTAAGATCACCCCTCTCCAAAGAGATTCAGTTTCTTAAGACTCCATTATGTGCAATAGATTTCAAGTTTTTAGTGTAGTTAAGTACTTCATTATTCGGAAACATTTTGAATTTGTATAGAGGGTATACTATAAGAGTAAAAGTATGTATATACCTTATAAGTATATATAATGTAATTAAATCGCCAAAAAAACAACTATTTTCTATATCAGATTATATACATTTCTTTTTTTCAGGTGGTTTTCGAATTAGGCAATAAACGTATTGCCTGTCAGAAAATATATTTAAAAGTCTTTATTTTTTTTGGCTTTCTATCATTAATTATTCTTCCCGGGTCCATCAAGTAACCTGGGAATGTTGTGTAATTCGTTTATTAATTTATTTGGATATTATTCCACATAGCGGCATAAATAGGCATTAATCATGCACAGATCATATCGATCTTTTCCACAAAAGCAAACAACTGTGAAGCTCCTGTTATTATTTATTATATATTTCTTTTAAGTAAAATTGTATGGTTGACAAATATAGTTATATATTATATACGTCAACCTATTTTTTATATTTAGAATTTCATTTTATTCTATTCCCGAAAACGAATAAATTGAATAATTGCATACATTTGTATTTTATTCTCGAAAATGAATAAATTGCATATTATAAGTGGTGAGTGTATTACTTTCGACTTTCATGACTTAAAATAAGTTAGGTGTGTGTGTGATCATGTAAGTGTGTAAATGTTCATGTGTATATTTAAGACGTTAAAATACGCTAGTTAGAGTCTAATTCGTTTAACCACGCCATGCTCTTGCTTATTATTATGGAGCTGATGGTCCTTAATTAATGGAAGCATTTCCAAATGGATCCGATTACTGCTGACACTGTACAAATAGGTTTCTGGAGTAGCTTCCGTACGGACGATACACTGAGCTATTCCATTTCTAAAGAAACTGTACAGCTAGAATCCAAGTTGCAATTATATACGCTTAATGACGACACACTTAGTCAATTCCCTGCAGTCCACTGCTGCGGGCCCGCTTCTGGGGCGAACTGTAGCTGCTTGTAGAAGAAGTTCCTCCACTCTTCTCTTGGTTGCGCTTTAAGTTAGTTGCGTTTGCGGCGCCTTGTAGCTTGGTTGTTGTGGGATCTGCAAATGGGGTGGGTGAATACAAAAATCAAAGCTAAGTGTGCATGCGTATACATGCCTTGCAGCCATCTGACTTGCGTCGCGGGCCCGTAGCCCTTTTGGTTGCGTGCGGCGATTCGGAAAATAATGGCTGGCTTATTGGAGCAGTCGACATGCGCATTGGATAGCGACGCATTAGGCACTGTGCATTGATTGGCCGCGCCAACATAGACGCGTACGAACGCCAACTGAGGTGATGCTACCTTGTCTTTTGTTGTCGGCTTGACAGCCAGATAAACCGAGTATTCAATTATTTCCTTAGTCTTTTGCGCCGGTGGCGGTTCCCATGTCAGGTGCGCACCCTCTTTAACATCCTTGGATATCTTGATGGCTGATGGGGCACCAGGGAAACCAGGTAGGCACGTCTTAAAGCTTGAGATCTACAAATGCAAATGTTATATACATATACAATGGATGACTATAAAAACATGTAAGAAAGCTCTAGACTGCCCGACTACGAGATCCCCTGAACCCTTCGAGCAACTGATATTTCAATAATTATTCGCACATGCACACACACAGGCATACGCACGCATAAACACGCATTGGTTTCAGTGATGGCTTACTATGGGAACTTAATTGTTTAATAACTTTTCTTATGGGTGGACTATCTTCATGAGATTTTCAGTTCAGTTTCATTATCAATATAACATAGACATGCATGTATTTGCCAAAGCACAAGTCTCTAATATTTGAAACACGCCTTTTACAAACTTAAGGATGATGAGGTGAACTAAGGGTGGGGGGCAAATTTTTACAAAAATCGAAATTGTATAAAATGTATCTTAACATATATTTTAAATTTGGATACTATAGCTTTAAAGATGTAGGAGATATATTTTTATAACTGATTTTCGATAAGGTTTTTAATCGATAACGAGATATCAGGATGAGTTATCGATTTTTGGAAATAAACTCGATATGCGCGCTATATATACGGATATTGAAAAAAAAACTGACAGGCCAAATCGACTCAGCTCGTCGCGCTGCCACGCCTACTTCTGCCTATTGCATACATTTCAACAAATCCATTATACCCTGATTTAAAATTTAACGGGTTCAGGGTATAAAAATTCAAATTAACACAAACCTCTCCCCATTCGCCACGCCCACACGTGTTAACGGCAGCCAGACGAAAACGGTACGCGGTACCCGGATCCAAGCTAATACGCGGATATTGAGATAAGTCGGGTAGATTATCGGCATCAAAATTTTCTAGCTGAGCCTCGTTAAAGTACTTATAATCAATATAGCTAGTGACAGTATGGGACAGATCTTTAAATATTCCCACAGTATGCCACTTATCGTTGTCATCGATCGTTGAATTGGTAGCATTTACTGAAGGCTGAAACAAAAAATATTAATTTATAACCGATCTATATAATATAGTACACAACGGACTTACATTGTTGTCATTGCAGCTTTTCAGTTGATCACTCGATTTGCTACCAATATGGGCAGCGGATAAGCTATCCAATAGGCTCATACTTGGTTTAGTTGAATCCGCTGTCGCGGTGGCCGCTTGCATAACAGCTGCCGATGCCAAAGCCTCCAAATGAGAGCCGTCTACTGTAAATTTTTGGAATAAAAACCTTTTACTATTCAATATTAAGAGTGCTCTATTCGGATGCGCCAAACTAGTGAATACCCCGCACCAAGGCTATACGGAAAACTACAGTGTTGAGGCACGAACATAAGACCATAAGGATTGCCAATAAGTCAAGAATACTGACAATTATAAAATTTGTATTTGTTCTATATATTATTAAACAAGTAAGAACGTTGCAGTCGGGCGATACCGATTGCAGAATACTCATTCACAGCCCAAACGCTGTCAACCAGAGTATATAGTGCAATTTTTAATCAGGGCATGATCCCATTAAAATTGGAAACTCATCGATAGCTATTGCTATGATCATTGCATCATTACATTCAAATTACATACATATATAATTTATACAATTTTTTTCAAGCTAACAGCAGATCAGCGCGATTTTCCTATACATGTGCACACACTCATCGCTCTCTTATTAAGCTATTCTATTCTAGCAACTGGCTTATCAAGCAAAGCAGTGGCGCGGGTGCTAAGGGCGACGCGAATTTTGCTAGAGTAGGGAAGGATCGAACCTCTTCGATGTTATTTTTTTTTTTTTTTTTCATACGTATTTCTTTTTTGTATAAAATAGATATTTTATTGGGAAGGTGCGAGCTTGAATGAATGACACTTAATACTTTTCTGTTTCTTAGTCGAATAATTTTATAAGTTTAAATTAGTTTCTTCTTAAATAGCCCTCAAATACATATACGCATATACATACATATATATAAGTCTGCACGCATAGCATCAAGCATCCTAGCCTTACACGCGCTCATTTGTATGTGTGCATGTATGTACACATAAGTGCGTGCTCTAGCATATTCTAAGAATCTCGTTGCGATTGATTTGTCTTTGCATTGTTTTTGAATTTCCTGTCGCTACAATGGCATTTCTTTGCTATGTGGCGTCATAACAATAATGTGATTTCGTTTTAACTATTGTTGTTCGAAACGACGCGGTGGTGCTGTATGTTGAAGCGCCGGCGGTCTTTATTTTAGTTATTTTGACATTAACATGCTATTCGGCTTGGGTGTTTCTTTCCGTATTATGTAATATAATAATATCTATTAAGCGTATTTATATGTACAAATACATAAATANGATCTTGGGTGGTCGACGCGGACCTACATACCAAATTTTAGCTTTCTAGCTCTTCAACTAATATGATTTCTGCATTTCCGATTTGCCACGCCCCTAGGGGGCGGATCAGGAAAATTTTTACACTTTATGAATCGGAGATATACACGAGTATGTGTTCCAAATTTTATGTCTCTAGCTTCAATAGCGCCGAAATAGATTGCGTTCATACGGACAGACGGACAGCAAGACGGACATTGCACAAAACCAATATACTCATTTCACTTTCGTGAGTCTAAAAAGAAATCTACAGACAGCAATTATTGGATGTTACACGCTTTGGCGCCCCGCAGAATTTTTAGGCATGAACATACATCGTATACATGCCTCCTACGCATTCAACGGCTAGCAGGTATTGTGATAGGAAGAGATGTCACATGTGCGGACTCTATAAACAGACTGATGAACGCTAACCCTTGTAACCCTCGTCACAGATTGTGCAAGAGACAAGCGCTGCGCCTTACAAACTCAATGGTAGGATGAGAATATGTAATACTCCAATGCTGAGCCTTCACACTCAGCAAGAGGCACTAGAATTAAGGGTTGAAAATATGCATGAGTCTGGGTATAAAGCCCGGGCTCAGAAGAATAAAGATCAATACGTAACTATGCATCAATACGTAACTATGCATCAATACGTAACTATGTATTCGCTCAACAGTATCTATTTTGCAAGATTGAGGCATCCAAAACATATACGTAGTAAAACAAGTAAGAAAGCTCTATTCGAGACTACTCGACTACGAGATCCCCTGAACCCTTGGAATAATAGCTATTTCAATAATTTTTCGCGTCTTTCAGCTTACAAACACACACACATACACTTAAACATTTACACACACATACACACACAAGCATAAAAAGGAATGGGCGGCAGTGTGCGCTTACTATGAGAACTCAATTATTTAATAACTTTTTTTGTGGACATATGATCTTCATGAAACTTTTAGATTATGATTATAACATAGATATGCATGTAATTGCCAAAGCACAAGTCTCTAGTATTTGAAATACGTCTTTTACAAATGTATTGATGAGGGGGTGAATATAGGGGTGGGGGGTAAATTTTAACAAAAACYGAAATTGTATAAATTGCATATAAGCATACATTAAAAATTTGGAGACTCTAGCAATAAAGGTGTAGAAGATATAATTTTATAACTRGTTTTCGATAWRGKTTTTTATCGATAAAAAAGATCGGGATGAGTTATCGATTTTTAATGATAAACTCGATATCCGCGCTGTAATTACGAACATTTTACAAAAAATTTGAAGCTAGCTCTTATATCTTCGGAAATTGACGCGTTCAAACATACGGACAGACGGACAGACGGACGGACGGACAGACGGACAGACGGACAGGGCCAAATCAACTCAGCTCGTCGCCCTGATCAAGAATATATATACTTTGTGGGGTCTGCCACGCCTCCTTCTCCCTGTTACATACATTTCAACAAAACCATTATACCCTGATTTCCCATTGAAAATGGGTTCAGGGTATAAATATATGTATCTGTACAGGTACACAGAAATAAACAGAAATAGAATATGATTGATTTAAACAAACCATTTTGATGATGATGTTGTCGTAGAGCAGATATTGCTAATTGGCTTTGTGATGCATCCGAATCACTCGTTGTGGATATCCCAGTATCCTTTGATATGGTATTGCTGCTGCTCGCTAAACCCTCGCCCGATTTAATTGTAGTTAATATATTTGCAGCCTCAGTCTCCGAAGCAGTCGGCAGATTCAAGTTCGTTGCTGTGGTTGTAACTGAAGCTATGCAGCCAGACTGGAAAGATGCGTTAAAGCCGTGAACAAAATCTAAAGTTTTCCCAATTATATGCTTACATTCGAGTCGACGTTATCGTTCTTATCGTTAATCGCAGGTGCAGCCGCGACGGAACTTTTCTGAACATCCGTCGTGCTGCTAACACTGGAAATATCATCAATCGCTGGATCTGCCATTTGGATATCTGTTGATGGATTTTCGGCGGTCCTCGACATGGCTGCCAATGGCACTAATGTTGACGTTAGTGTTGATGTTAATGGCGATGTAGTGGTTGAGGACGTGGCAGCAATTACAGTCCCGTCCCCATCCTCCATATCCTCCAGCTCTTGTGGCTTATCCTTTGTCGGAGTTAGTAGATCGTCAGCACCGTCCAGTTGCTCGATGATGTCATCGACGGTATCGGTTTCACCCGTTGTGGCAATAGCGATCGCTGCCTTCGCAACACTGTTCTCCTGCTTCTCCTTTAGCTGATGCACGGTCGTCTTGACTGCCGGTGCCGTCGGTCTACTTGTCAATGCTAATGTGCGTTGGCCGACCCCAGCAGCACCAGCGGCACCACCCGCATTGAAAATATTCACAAACCCTTTGCGCGCAGCTGTTGCTCCGGGCAACATGACTAACTTGTTGGTCGAGCTCGTGCCTGGTGTGCTGGATATGCTGGAATTGGCGCTCATCACAGTCACCGACTTGCCTCCAATGTATACGGCGGTCTTTTGTTGTGTTAGCTTCTGGCCAGCTGCGACGGCGCCGCTGTTAACGGAGGTGAGGGTGATAGGGCGACCTGCAGCTGCTCCTGCGGACCCCTGGATATTGCGCACCATTTTAACATTACTCTGACCGGTTAATACTGTGCGCTGTACGCCAGTAGCAATGGGTGTGGCCGTTGTACCAGTGGAACCAACGATGCTGACTATGTTTGTGGACCCAGCGCTGCCAGCACTACTCATCACAGAGCTGGCCGGCACAGTGCGCAGACTAGATCCAGTAGTTACTATTATTATCTGCTGATTGCCCAGCTGGGTGCCTTGCTTGTTAGTGATGACAAAGGCGGGCTTGCCCATCACGTTGGGTGTGACCTTGCCCATTTGCAGTATGTTGGAGTTCTTCATAATCAATTTTCCGCCAGACATCGTGTGTGGAGTAACTAGTTTTAAAACATTGCCAGATACAATCGACTTTTGTTGCTGGATCGTCGATTGCTGCTGCTGCTGCTGGTGTTGTTGGTGTTGTTGCTGTTGATTTTGTTGTCCACTTGCACTCGTCGCCGAAGACGATGTTATTAGGGTCGTTCCACCAGCCATCACTGTCTTTGGCTGCACAGTGCTGCCTGATGCAATCTGATACGAAATTCGAAGACATTAAATGTGGTTCTAATATGATATATATGTATATATAAAGTTGCATTACCTGATTTGGTGTCGACCCAGCACTGAGCTGTTGGTTGCTAATAGATATTGCCTGACCCTGGGCACCGCCGCCGCTTTTAGCAATATTAAAGCTGACCTTCGGCAGAGTCTGCACCGTCATGCCACCACCGCTAGTCTTCACAAACTGCAGCTGTACATTCGGAGCCAATGTGAGAGGCTTCTGTATAAAGTATTGCTTGCCACCTAGGGACGTAGTTGTCGTCGCCACAGCCGACGAACTTGTCTGCACCGCAGCGCTCGGCTGCGAAGCTTTTAGTATTGTTGTAGTTGATGAGCTTCCGCCAGCAACACTTGCGCTGCTGCCATATGGGGTCAGTCGCAAGGATTGCCCACCAGAGATGCCTGTGTTAGTGGAGATGCCAGGGATGATTCGTAGTCCTCCAGCTGACGACTGCGAAGTGGCAAGGACTACGCCGCCACTAGGCGCCGTCACAGAGTGCGCACCGACACGTGCAGCAACACTTTGGCCATCCTGGTTTGCCTGAGAGGCAGATGTTTTGATAATTGAAGCACTAGGTCTAAACTTCTGTATTATCCCCCCACTATCTCCGCGAGTATTTGTGTTCACACCTGTTGCTGTGCTGCTGATAATCGATAGTTGTGGTTGTTGCTGGACTGCAACAATCGAAGGTGTTACGCCTGCTTCTGCAGCCGCAGACACGCACGACGATCCCGGTGCCGCTTTGACTTGCGACTGGGTGACAAAAACAGTCGACGATTGAGCAGACTTACTAACAGCTGTAATTGTGGCCGCTGTTGCTGTGCCTGCTGAAACTGCTGCTGCTGCTGCTGGGCTGTTTGCTCCAGTTAGATGCAAGACCGAAATGGGATTCTTTTCGAATTTGAGGGCAGCCGAGGCGACAAGCGGGGCGCCCTCACCACCATTTGCGGTAGTCGCAGGCTGTGGAGCTAGGGTTTGGCCTTGAGCGGGGGGTTGTTTTGTATTGGGTACAGCTGGCGCTTGTTCAATTTTCTGTATTTGCAGCACATAGGCTGCGGCAAAGGTGGTCGCCGTCCACGAGAGCTCTAGCGCATGGGTCGATGCTCGAACTAGCGCCACTTTCACCGCATAGAGTGGCTTGGTTACCTCCAGGTACCACAAATCCTTACAACAAACCTATGTAGAAAGACAAAAATGATAAAATTGTACTTTTTATACCCTGAACTCATTTTCAATGGGAAATCAGGGTATATTGGTTTTGTTAAAAATGTGTAACAGGGAGAAGGAGGTGTGGCAGACCCCAAAAAGTATATATATTATTGATCAGGGTGACAAGCTGAGTCAATTTAGCCCTGTCCGTCCGTCCGTATATTTGAACGCATCGATCTCAAAAGATATTAGAGCTAGAGATTTGAAATTTGTTCCCAAAAAATCGATAACGACTCCCGATATTTTGTTATCGAATAAAAAGCTTATCGAAAATAAGTTTTTTTTATTATATTTCCTACACCTTTAGAGCTAGAGTCTCCAAATTTTAAATGTAGATTTATATGTATTTTATAGAACTTTGATTTTTGTTATATTTTACCCCTACCCCACTATCCAACCCTCGCCAAAATATTTGTGAAATGCGTATTTGAAATACTAGAGATTTGTGCYTTGGCAAATGCATGCATTCTAGTATATAACAATCTGAAAGTTTCATTCATAAGAAAGTTATTTAACAATTAGGTTCCCGTAGCAGCCAATGCATGTTTATGCGCGCATGCACATGTGTGTTTGTGAGTGTGTCAAGAATTGTTGAAATTGTTGTTGTTCCTCGAAGGGTTCAGGGGATCTCGAAGTCGAGCGGTGTCAACTAGAGCTTTCTTACGTGTTCTATTAGTACTACAGTGCTTATCATAATTATAGCCCACCCTGCAACTTAAACTTTGAGCCCGTTGTAACAAAATTTTTAAGGTTTTTTAAAAATAAATTTTACAGCACATTATAAGACTGGAGCATGTTCAGTAGATTTGATCAAAATTTTAGTTCAATTTATGGAAAACTAAGAAAGAACCGTTAACTTTTGCTCTGTGCTAGCATTTTTGCTTGCATTTTTGTGTATCATAATTATAGCCCACTGTCGCAAATTTGAATTTATTAAGTGCGGAACAGACTTTTGGCTTTACAGACATTGTAATTAAGTAAATTTAGATAGTTTTTAAGAGATGCCGCTTGGAAAACAATTATCTTATTATGAAAAGGGCCGTATTTTCTCACTTTTCGAGTCAGGAGAGTCTATTTCGAGTATTTTACGAATTTTGAAAAAAANAGTTTTTCCATTAATCCGCAACGAATTCGGATTTTTTTTACAAAAATATGAATATGGGCTATAATTTTGATACAGAAAATGGTGCTGTTTTTCCTTGTTTTTTACTTCTTTTTAAGAAATCGTTATTAAATCGTGAATTTTAAGTGAACAAGTTTTTTGCCATTCATAATTGAAATATTGAACTACTCATTTTTGAAGATTTTGAGGAAATATTCCATTTGGGAAAAATTTTCAGCCGATTCGTTTAAGTGGATTAAAAGTGGGCTATAATTATGATAAGCACTGTACAGTGGTAACAGATAATTTCTCACCCTAACCTGGTTGTTCCATGCTTTGCGGTAACCGTCTCGACCCGACCATACGTATAAACGACTTTGAATGCCAACTGCACAGTGTCCAGCTCGAGCTCTGGGAACGTTTTCCTCAACAGTATCCAAGGTGACATTCTCCCAAATCATTGTGTCTGCATAAGGAAAAGAGAGGATGAAGTTCAATAGATATTCTATTAGTACCGATCTACCTAATCTACCTAAATCGAGCACAGCTAGTGTATTTGTGCACTTCCATTCCCGTTCTGTGGTCGCTTTGGAATCGTTGATCACCAATGGAACCCAGCCTCCAAAAACATACATCTTATTTGCAATCATTGTGGAACTGTGTAGAGAACGCGGCAACGGAGCTTGGCCTCGGGTGCGTGGTTTTTCCCAAGTCATAGATTCTGCAATTATACGGAGTCAGACAACTATCGATGAAGGCGAAGAGTGCGTACCTGTATCCAGAAGCCATAAGTCACCCAAGCGACAACCACTCATGCCACCATATATAAGTAAACTTAATTTACCAGTTTGCTTGCTTGTAAATGATATTCCAGTGTGTGACTCGCGAGGTGGAGGGCTGTCACCAAATGTCTTTGGAATAATCCACTTTCCATTGTGACTGTGCACGCCGCGAGTGTCCAATATATACAAGTCATTTAGATACCTATTTGCAAATAGATAATATAGATATATGATTGAGTCTAGCCCGAAGCAATCGATCTATATGCGTCTGTAATGGAAGCCCATAAGAACAAGTTTTACAGGTAGCAGCAGAGTGAACAAAACTCTTACAGTTTAAGCTATTCAGTCTAGAGACAAAAGAGACACCCGCTAATAATTTTTCAATTCCGAAGGGAAAAGATGAGTTCTTGAGTTCTTCATAGCAGAAGATTTGACACTCAGAGCAATAACAATATACATGCAATACTGTCAGCTGAGAGCATTGCAAAAATGTATTTATTCTACCTACTTTGGTATATTGTTTTTAGGGTCATCCGATTCATTAGCCAGTCCGCCAAAGAGAAATATTTTCTCGCCAACCATAGTGAAGCTGTGGCCGAGTCGAGGACACGGGGACATTCCATTATCTGGCGATTCTGGATACATTTTCCTCCACTCCCATTTCGTGGCCTGCAACTCGTAGAGCTCATTTGAATATTTCCCATATTCGATCATGCCGCCAAAGACAAACATGCGCGTTCCCTCAACAACAAATCCGTATGCAGCGCATCCATTGGGTACATCTCCTTTCAACACGGGCACATACCATTGATTGGTCACTAAAATAATGGAAGAAATATTACTACTAAACCCAAGCCTAGCTTATTCATATATATTCGAGCAGCATTACATTTAAGCAGAAGTTCTCTCATCGAATGCCTTCTATTATCGATCTATGAAATAATATAATACTCTACTAATTTAATATCGTCCAATTGTATTTTAACGAAAAACATAAATATATAGGGATTAACGCTAGATGTTTTATCGCTAGGTGCTGCTCGCTTAGTGATAAAACAATAGTAAATGTCCTTAAATAAGCTGATGCGAAGACCATGACCAAAGGCACATTGGTTATCATACCAGTGACACTAACAATAAAATGGAATTCAATGAAATGGGCGTTTAGTTGAATCTCGATCAGTAAATAAAATGTTTTAATTATTAAGCAATTTTTATTTAAAGATGACATTAATATAAATATCAAATATTTGATTTTTAAATGTAAATATATAATCTATGTATATAATAATAGTATGTACAAAATATACCTGTATTGTAAACATGGAGTTCGTCAACGATTCCTTCGTTTCCGCCTCCAAAAACAACCATAAGCTCTTTAATATTTATGGCCCGGTGTCCATGTCGTGGACGAGGTTGAGGACCTGTTGGATTAAGGACGCGTTTCCATCGAAACCCACCCGATGAGTTGTTGCCCAAATTGTGGTTGGTCGCGTCTTCCGTCTGATATGGATCCAAGTCCATGTCGACGCGTGCCAAACCATTGCCGCCAGATGATACTTGGGTGTTAGTAGAGCGTATCGTCTGCTCTGAATTCAGTGCATCGGCCACAGCATTTCCCAGGGAACTATTCGCTCCAGCAAATTCTGTGCTATTCATTTTAAAGATCTCTATATATGGATATGCTTATCCACTTATCAGAGTGAATACTTTAAATGTTTATATTCAGTAAGCAACCTTAGCCAAACCAATACATGAATGCATATTTTCTTGTAGAGTCTGTAAAAATACAAATATATTTATATTATGATGTACATTTGAGAAGCACAGAATTACTTTTAATGCGTACTGTATATGTACATGTATGCTCGCAAATTTATATTGACCTGGCAATGCCGTCAATGGACGCTTACAAATTTATCAATTTTTAGCACCATTTTATCAAACATATTAAATTATTAAATTAACGTATATTTTCACCATGTACGCTTACCAATTAGATAACTGTTAAGTCCTTGGTAACATAAACAATTCAATGGTTTATATATAAAACAATCTAATACACAATGTGCAAAAAAAGCCGAAGAAAACGACAGCGACGCACACATAGGAAATTCTCACAAGAAGGGGACCTAACCAGACCAGCATATCATAATCAGAGTTGCAATTATTGCACCTTCAATTCAGATATCGATATATCGATATTTCCAAAAGAGTACAAATAAAATAGATTGAAATCGAATTGAATGTTCAATTAAATCGTATACTGCGTAAAACCACTAACCAGAGAACACATAGACTAGACAACTAGTGGAAAGCTTTTTGCACGCTTTTTTTGAGGCTTTAGCACCCCAGACAGCTTTGGACTCGCTCGGCTCCTTACTTTTAGGTTCGAGCTACGAAAAAATACGAACGCACAATCATTTCGCTTCATGCGCTCGACCGAGATGGTCAACTTTTGAACAAAAGATCCCTCTATGCTCAATGTTTCCCTTGCTCTCTCTCTCTCTCNCGAAATGATTGTGCGTTCGTATTTTTTCGTAGCTCGAACCTAAAAGTAAGGAGCCGAGCGAGTCCAAAGCTGTCTGGGGTGCTAAAGCCTCAAAAAAAGCGTGCAAAAAGCTTTCCACTAGTTGTCTAGTCTATGTGTTCTCTGGTTAGTGGTAAAACATATTTAGCTTTGAAGCCGTAAACTAGACATCTACATATATTATTGCAAGTACATTATTATTATTATCATTGTATTAAAAGAGAAACCATTTTTTACAAACAATTGATTACAATTAATTATAATTCGATCATTTTTCTGCCTAATTGCATATTATCACTAACCATGGCTAGTAATATTATTTAGTGGTACCACTAAATAGAGCTGGAGAGCCATCTATAGAACTATCGCTAGCATCGATGGAAATTTCCCGATGGTCGACAATTTAATCTCTCCTTATTTTATTTACTCTTAAACCCAATCCTAGCTTATTCATATACATATATTCGAGCAGCATTACATTTATGCAGAAGTTCTCTCATCGAATGCCTTCTATTATCGATCTATGAAATAATATAATACTCTACTAATTTAATATCGTTCAATTGTATTTTAACGCAAAACATAAAACATAGGGATTAACGCTAGATGTTTTATCGCTAGGTGCTACTCGCTTAGTGATAAAACAATAGTAAATGTCTTTAAATAAGCTGATGCGAAGACCATGACCAAAGGCACATTGGTTATCATACCAGTGACACTAACATGACCAAAGGCACATTATATTTTCAAAATAACTATTGCAATTCAACATTGTAGCGAACCAAAGCATCTATTTCCTCTATACTATAGTCTGATTTTAATATATTCTGTGTTTTTTTAAAAAAACAAAAAAAATCTTTACGCCTTCAACAACTTCGAGTTCACCTGATAGCGCCGATGCTCACAAAAAAAAAAACAAGCGACAAAAAATACGTGACGGAAGTTTTGTCTCATTTTTACCGTTTAAACAACAAAGTGTTTGCCGGATGTCGACATTGTGCCAAAATATACCGCTCAAGTGACAACACTTCAAATAACATAAGTCCACCCATTTGTACAAAATGTTGAGAAAACCGCCGATCATCACCGACCGAAGAGCTTGTTTTAAAAAAAAACATGTTAACCAAATCATTTTACTAAACAAAAATCAATGGATGGATCATGAAGCTTATCAAGAAAGTTAAGCTTTATTATAAGTAGGAATTAAAAGTGTTATATATTTTTCAGAAAACTGGACTACACAGGCTTTGCCGAACCTTACCATACAAAGTATGTAAATATGTATTTAATTTGCAATATATTTGCAATGTAATATAGCAAAAAGTTTCGATGGAATAAAAAAAGTTTAAGCCATCGAATACTGCTACTAATAATGCAGCTGTTACAGCTGACAGCAATAAAAATACCAGAATGCTTTTGGTTGCAGTTTTTTTATACATATCTCATAGCTGAGGATAGTCTAAAAATATGCACCGTGTAAGAATATCGATACTACGCTACTTTTTGTAAGAATGTCACGAAAGTGTTGAATAGTTTATATTTATCAAAGTACAAAGGACTAGCTGTTTTTTCAATTGAGTTTTAAGTAACTTTAACTTCGGCGGGTAAGGCAACCAAATTCGGATTGGTTGGACATTCTTTATATATATTAGCCAAACATAAAATCAATCTACATTTTAATCAGAAAAGCTGAATGAAAACACCTTCAATAGTGTGTAGAAAAGTGGAAACTTACTGTTATCGATAACAATAATTTTGGTCATCAAAATAGATTTTGCTGACGCCACAAAGTATGCAATAATTAATAAAGCTCGATTGAAAAGATTTACCAAAAAGTTAAAAGTTTAATTATGTTAAAGGCATAGGAATAAATTTTTTAACTAGACGAGAAGTGTGAAATACATTTGATCATTATTTCTGTTGTTTTTCCGGCATAAACTCAAAGCGAATTTCTCGGTATGCGCCAAATTTTTAAAAACAAAAAATTACTCCAAATTTTAGCTAGCGCGAATGCATTGCTAGTGTTTACCTAATTAATTAAAGTCATTAAGAAATCCCTTGATGTCCAAAAGAATAATTTTATGTATTGGCTAACTCTAAATGTAAAATATTACGTAATGCTTTGGTTGGAAGTTCTTGGAGTCCATAATCGAATTTTCCATTTATAAAATTAAAATAGGTTACTATAAAATGATTTAATTATTTATAAGTGCAATAAATAATGATCTTAGAAAAAAGCCTTAAAGAGAAAAGAAAATATCGTAGCCAGTCATATGTAGGTGGATAGCAGCCGCAAGTATGAAATAAAATTCATCAATGAATGCGCAGATCTCAGTAGATTATACGCATTGTTTAACACGATATTGGGTGAGCTTATCACTCATGTAGAAGTAACGCCGCAGTGCTAACGTAATCAAGTCAAACATACGCCTGATAACTTCAGAGCTCCGATAAGCAGGACAACTATATATCTCGCTCGACTACCTGTTCTTTTACTACAGATATTTGTGCATGTATGTATTTGTACACACAGATAGGCACAGCGCAAAAGAGAAACACTTTGAAAGGCTATAAATAGAACGCCAATGAGCAAATCACAGTATTCCGATTTAGTTAGTTAGAGCACGATATTTTATTTCTGAATTTTCCCCCGAGACTTTGCCTCTTCAGGTAAAACAAGTGTTCCATATCGTAATGTATAGAATATTTAAAAGACGTAAGCCTGGCTTACGCTTTTTTAGAGTTTTTTTAATATATTTAGTAAATTTTTTTGCGCAATATATATATAACTACTGATACATAAAACTTAAAATCGACAACTAATTAGTATCATATTTTTGGTTTGTTAATAATAACTTCCCATGTCCATATCAATGTAATAATTTAATAGAAGTTATAGGACTCGCGTATCTGAATGTTGTAGAAATGTTACTAAAATACCGTGCAAACTGAGAAGAAGCAGTAATCGCATTTAAAATATTTATTCGATAAATATGTCTTCGATTAATGGTGAATTTTTCGCTTGAACAATCTGGTCTTACTGTTGAATTCTGTATACCATACGAGTTGTCCGTTGTGTTAGCAAGAAATACAAACAGCATTTTTGGTAATGAGTGTATTCCTTAATTTGTTGCGAAAGGACATACACATGCAACATATAAAGACAGAAAAAAATATAAAGCGATAAATAAAAATTGTATTTATTCTATTTTATTGTGTCTACACCAGCAGAGTGAATAACTTGTGTTTAAATCGCGTGGCAACACCCATTAAACGTTTAGTATTAAAACATAATTGTAATTTAGTTAATTATATTGTTCCACGTGTTCAGTGAAAATTAACAGTATAAATATGTTTACGTATAAATAAACATGTATGAATATAAATGTATTTGGTTACATACACATGTACACCTATAAAAATTGCGTGTGTACATATCTAAATATGTATAAGTGGAATAAGTGATATCATCCCGAGGCCTGAGACTGCCGTTATCCACCAGCTGCTTCAGTTGCCCTTTTTGTAGGGTTTTGTCGCAGAATAAAACAAAAAAATCAATAAAGTAAAATGTCTATAT